TGATCTGATGAGACGCACACGCGCGCACCCATGCACATGCACGTACGCACGTACACATATGTACACACAAAGAGACATGCACATACACACATGCACCAATACACACGGGCGCGCACACACATACACACATATATATATATGTGTGTGTGTGTGTGTGTGTGTTGCAGTCCCTTGCAATCGGTCGCTTGAAAGTACAAGGCGGGGACAAGTAGGAGGGCTGTTGGGGTGAGCGTGGAAGGCTGGGGAGTAATGCTTTGGTAGAAACAATACCATTTTTAGCAACCAGTAAATCTGTCGGAAAAGAAAACCGTATATGATGTTATTTTTCCCCTTCTCCGGAAAGGAGAAGAGAAGGAAAGTTATTCTCCTGTGAGAAAAAAAATCATTAACGAACGTTAACAAGATGGAAGACTACCTCTTTAGGCTCTAGTTATCTCCCACTTGTCTGGTCCGAAGCAGCTCCACTTGTGTCGTATAGGAAAATCCACAGCACTCGCCCATGGCTATCCGCAGTTTCTGGATAGCCAGTGTTCTAAAATAGGAAGGGCTTTTCTCTACTTTCCGTGCTGTTTGCTCAGATCTGGAAAACTCAGGAAATTGCTCTGTTTACATGGTATGGATGTTGGCGCTCGCTTGTTTTGGGTATGAATCTGCTTGTTTATTGAAAACTCCAAGAGAGCGTGACAATTAAATTGTATGTTCTTGGCTAACCGTTTAATTTGTTTCCTTATATCGTATTTAAATGTAAAAAGTATGAGCTATAGAGTGACCAATTTACAGGAATAGCTGCTGTGAATCTCTAGAATGTTGGGTGCTAGTAAATATGTTGTCTGTTGATCACAATAACTGACATATATTCTTCTTCTTCTTCTTCTTCTTCTTCTTCTTCTTCTTTTCTTCTTCTTCTTCTTCTTCTTCTTTTTCTTCTTCTTCTTCTTCTTCTTCTTCTTCTTCTTCTTCTTCTTCTTCTTCTTCTTCTTCTTCTTCTTCTTCTTCTTCTTCTTTTTCTTTTTCTTTTTCTTTTTCTTCTTCTTCTTCCTCTTCTTCTTCTTCTTCTTTCTTCTTCTTCTTCTTCTTCTTCTTCTTCTTCTTCTTTCTTCTTCTTCTTCTTCTTATTTAATTTTCTTCTTCTTCTGTTTAATTTTTCTTCTTCTTCTTTTTCTTCTTCTTCTTTCTTCTTCTTCTTCTTCTCTTCTTCTCTTCTTCTTCTTCTTCTTTCTTCTTCTTCTTCTTCTTCTTCTTCTTCTTCTTCTTCTTCTTCTTCTTCTTCTTCTTCTTCTTCTTCTTCTTCTTCTTCTTCTTCTCCTACTACTTTTTCTTCTTCTATTTTCTTCTTCTACTGCTTCTGCTGTTAATGTAAAACTATTAATTTTCACCCATTACTACATAAATGTTAAGTGAGCAGTGGGTCTATTTCCCTTCCCCACCCTAATGAGACCAGGAACACTTGTTCTAGTGGGTTGGGGTGACATGAGCTCGATAAGGACTTCTGCCCCCGCCCGCCCCCTTTTTTCCCTCCAAGAGATAAATAGCAGAAAAAGAGAAACATTAGCAAAAGTACAAATACTGTCGTTTCAAAACACTTCCGAAGGGGTTGCAATCTGAAACCTAACTTATAGGGGGGAATTAATGGATTATCCACCTCTGTTTTCACTCAGCACCTTCAGTAAGTAAGTAAGTAACCGGATTTGTCGGTGAACAGAGCGTAGGAGAGGGGGTGAGGAGGGGGGTCGGTAACTCTCTTCACGACGCCTTTGACTCATCGGACATCTAGTGACGGACCTATAAATTATTATATTGACCCATCCGCACTTGATAGATGATGAACATCACGCTGATCGCCTTTACTTCCCAGGACAATTACCTGGGACTCATTTTAGGTTGGGTTGGCATGGGTGCCAACATCAGTTTTGAATAAATTCCTCTTTGTCGGAGAATGTGAGGTTCGTTGAAAATATGCAAAGGTTGTCTGTTGGCAGACGGTACTATAGATTTAGGACGCTCTCCTAGCGCTGTTTGAATTCAACAGGTTTAAAAAACATGCATCACATTTTTAATGTATGGTCATAACAGAGCAGCGATTCTCAAATTTTTTGCTGCGGCACTCTTGGCGAGCAAAAAAAAATTTCCCGTCACACCTACACTTAAAGCGGTTGAATACATAGGGAAAGAAGAAATAAAACAGTGCATATTTAATGTTCAGTTGTCCTTAATGCGATGAATGAAACTGTTCAGAGGCATTTTTCATTATATTCTTTTTATTTTTAGAAATTCTTTGCGTTATGAATGACCCTGCCTGAAGAGATAAAGCGCGACGTTTGAAGATTTCTTAACCTTTGTGTGCTAAATCAGAGAAATTCCACATGACTCTTTAACCACTTTACTTATCTACTGCACCTTCAGGAATGTAGGTACAGGATCGGTCGCACCTGGAGGTCAATACAAGGAAAATTCTTAGCACTCTGAGGTTGGCATTTTATGCAATATGAAACACGCATCA